ATGGTTGAAGTAGAGTATATTATATAATTTATAATATACTTTTTAAAAAGCAGTATTTTGAGATGAATTTTTTTGACATTTACTGTTTTTGAAAATCTTATTTTAACACCTTTTGAATAATTCAGAATTCTCGTTCTAATTTCAGTATTTGGTTTTAAGGGCTATTAGAGCTGAAAATGATACCTTCTAGAGAAGCAGATTCAGATGGAAGGAAAACTGTACCTACTAAAATTTTCAGTCCTGTTTACCAATTTTGCAAAGATAAATTTTTAATTTAAATCCAGCTAGTAAATACCCATTTTCTTGCTGTGAATCTGGCATTTTTACATGTTAACCAGAGGTGCTGCACGTTTTACTTTGTTATCAAGTAGGGGCAGGAGTTTGAGGTTACAGTGAGCTAAGATTGCAGCACTGATCTCCAGCCTGGGTGACAGAGCAAGACCCTGTCTCTAACAACAACAGCAGCACATAAAAAACAAATAGGTTCGAAGCTTATTGACATTCTTTCAGATTTTAAATCTAGTTGGGAAAATTCTGCTTACAAGTGTTTTGGTTGTGTAGATGTGAAAGTGTAGGTGTCACACTATTAATAGTTTTTGGCAACGTAGTCATATAATGATGAAAATATTTCCAAATAACCATTTTTATGTGCACGTGCCATACAAGTCTCTGAAAGTAGTTCCTTTCTGTCTCAGTGATGAAATATAACTTTCACTCTGAAAATTCAAATGAGATGTATTTATTTCTTTGGAGTTTACCAGCAGCCATTTACAACCTCAGAAAGGTCAGAAAATTTGGAATACTTGCCCTTTGTGCAAAAAATACATGTAAAACTCATCTTTAAGTGTACAGCTCTTTTTTATTTATTGTTTTTACACAAAAGTATTGCTGTGTCGCCCAGGCTGGAGAGTAATGGTGCAATCTAGGCTCACTGCAACCTCTGCCTCTCGGGTTCAAGCGATTCTCCTGCCTCAGCCTCCCAGCTAGCTGGGACTACAGGCCCCCACCACCATGCCTGGCCAATTTTTGTACTTTTAGTAAAGACGTGTTTCACTGTGTTGGCCAGGCTGGTCTTGAATCCCTGACCTTGTGATCTGCCCACCTCAGCCTTCCAAAGTACTGGGATTATAGGCATGAGCTACCACGCCCGGCCAGTTTACAGCTCTTTTAAAAGTATTTTACCTTGAGATGATCAGAGAAATTTAAGTGAATTGAAGTATTGTTCATGGGTACTTCCTAATGCATCCCAAAGAGTTATAAATATTCTACTATAAAGGTCTTAATTTTATAAAATTTGTATCAGTGATACCCCTAGTACATGGGATGTTTTGCCTGTAAATTATTTAGTAATGCTATTGCTGAATTCTTAATGTGGAATCCACACAGCGTCTCTGTCTGTCGCCCAGGCTGGAGTGCAGTGGTGCCACCTTGACTCCCTGCAACCTCTGCCTCCTGGGTTCAAGCGATTCTCCTGCCTCAGCCACCTGAGTAGCTGGGATTCCAAGGGTAAGCCACTGTGCCTGGCCCCATCTCACCTTTAAAAAAACATTTCAGTCAAAGTAGCCGTTCCATCAGGGATTAGACTTAGTCTACTCATAAAACAAACTTGTTTTTTTTTTTAAGGTGGATTAATTTTGAGAAATATATCCTCACTACTTCGTCTCTACTTTAATGTCTTTCTTCCTGCAGTGATACTATAAGAGAAGACATGTCAGAAACATCTCTCCTTCTACTCAACCTCATGCCCTGAAAAACTTGTTCCTATACTTATCTCTTCAGATTGTCAGCAGTATTTTCTACTTCTCATCCAATATATTTCCTGACAAATGATACACCCAGGCTTTTATCCCCCCTAAATTGTTTCACCAGTATTTCATCCGTATTTCCATGGCATGAAGCACAAGTATTTTTTCAATGGTATGTTACTTTTTGTCTTTTGCTATTAAGTGAGGAAACTTTTGAAAGGTTTATAAACATTTACATTTAGTGAGCATTGCTTAGCAAGTATTGGATTTAGTATCTCATGATGTTAAGTGTTGCTGAACACACCATGGAGGCTCGTCTAATCTTCCGGATCTGTAACTTCTGCTTATTGCAATGGCTTCACATTTTTCATTGTGTGTATCTGAAGAGTGAGGTCCATCATTAACTATGGTGAACACAGATACCTACTTAAGAAAATATTAATTCAAATTTTTTGGCTGACTTCTTGGCAAAACTTAATGATTTTCCTGGCTGTTGAATAGCTTGCACCAGGGACAGAAGTATCAGTTAGTATTGTCATTTTGCTTGCATTACAGGCTGAATATCTCCTCTCTGGAATCGTGGGACCAAAAATTTTTGGGATTTTGGAATATTTGCATTATATATTTACTGGGTAAGCATCCCTAACTGAAAATCTGAAATCTGAAATGCTGCCATGGACATTTCCTTTGGGCCTTATGTTGACACTCAAAACATTTCAGATTCTGGAGAGTTTCAGATTTTGGCTTTTTGATTTGGGATGTTCAACCTATATCAGAATTATCCTTGGTCTGCTGTTTCTTTGCAAAAATCTTTTAAAGCGACTTGTACAGTGGCTTGATCTGGTAAAAACTACGTAATAGGTAAGCCCTTGTGTCTGGGCACATCCTAGAAACTTCAATACATCTCAATATGCTGAAGTCAACTAAACACCCCTTCCACATTATCCAACTCCTACATCCCCCCACCTCCCACCACAGCTTGTAAACTGTACCTGACATAGGACCTTCTAATATGCAGATGGAGGCAGGTGCTGATGTCAATATAAATTTTAACTTTTAGCAAAATGCAATTTCTTGTCTTTTGAAGATGAAAAATAAATATCAGTAGAGGTTCTAATGTCTTCTTCCCAAATCCCAATGGGTTAGGTTCACTGGTCACTCCACTTAGCGGCTCTGCTTGAGCTACAGGGTCATGGACTCCATCAGTCCCTCCTCTGCTGTGTGTGCTGACTGTGTGTACGTGTGTAGTCTCTTGTTAGTTCTGGCCTCCTCACGATGTCTTCATCTTTCTGGTCCCCTGATGTCCCAATACAAGCCTCCCTGTCTTCTGTCTGAGTGCCCTGGTTGGGGCTGCTATTTTGCCCACAGTGTCTGGGTGGAATAGCTTCTTTAAATTATTCTTTTAAGAACAGAGTGCCTTCAAGACTCCTGTCACCTAAGAAACAACAGATCCCTTTCTTTTGGGTCTTTTCCTTTCAGATTTCCCCTGGCTGCCAGGATCTATGTGTGAGTAAATCAAAGGATTTCCAAGACTAGATTAAAAATTAGAAATACTTTTTAAGTCGCCTACACTTCCAGTGCTCCACTCTCCCCTTTCCATTTTCTCCCTCTTCCCACCACCAGTTGCAATGGTTTTTCAATTTTAATATTGAGGCTTATTATGACAACAGACCACATCATTGCCAATGAAAAATACATCTGAAGGAAAATCTATTGTATTTTATTGCTTTGATTATCAAGTGCTTGTGAATGTCTTATTCATCCTTTTAGTCTTAAAACAGTATGCTTAAAAAGTACACTTTTGATGCAAATTGTTGTTTCAATGGTGAGTCAGATCCCAGAGTTGACTACTATAAATGGCAAACTTTTGGTTTATCACTGAGAAATAATCTCTACAGGACTGAAAGGCAAAAAGTGTTTTCTGTTTCCTCCCAAGCGTAGAGATAAAGAATACTATATTCTTCCGAAGATCTGGGTTGGCATACTGTGGATGTTGAGCATGTAGAAGGGAGACATTGCTCTAAGTCCTAAGTACTTGCTGTTCCTCAAGTCTAGGGTAGGATAAGATAGCAAGTCCTACGCCCTGAAGGTGTGCTTAATATAAGAAGCAGTGGATAGTAGAGATTAGTCATCTGCGTGGCCATCTCCTCCAGGCCATCCTCTGTACTTCCATGATTATCTTCCTAAAACATAACTCTTCTCAAGCCACCTACCTGCTTAACAGCTTTTGATGGTTCTCTATTGCCCAAGGAATAAAGTCCAAACCTTTAACTTGCAGATAGGGCCCTTTCCAACCTGGTTACAACCTTGCCTTCTCTCTATCTCTCTCTATCCCCATCTGTCCCCTCTGCACCTACATGCGCTCTCTCTCTCTCTCTCTCTCTCTCTCTTCTCTCTCTGCCCTCCAGATTAATAATGCTAGGTACCAACAATGCTGGGTGAAAACTAGATTTATACAATTGAATAGGAGAATTAGTCTGTAACAGGAAAAGTGTGTTAACAGATAGTGGATGGTTCAGAAATAGAAGACTCAGTGAACCACCAGAATATTCTAGAGACTATTAACCTTTGTTGGCATGTGGATCACCTGGGGATCTTGATAAAACGCAGTTGCTGATTCAGTAGGTCTAGAGTGGTCTAGGGTGGGGCCTGAAATTCTGCGTTTCTGATAAATCCTGGGGGCTGCTGTTGCTGCTTGTGGTTTGCTGCCCACTTTGAGTAACAAGATTCTAGGCTGCACTGTTCAATGTGGAAGCCCTAGTCACATGGGGCAATTTAAACTGAAATTGATTAAAATTAAATAAGACTTAAAACTTCCTTGTGCCTACTATACTGAATAGTGCTTTGTTTCTCTCATTGCAGAAGGTTCTATTGGATAGCACTGTTTTCTAGAGCACTATTCTTCAAACTGTTCTCTGCAGACTACCTATTAAATCAGAATCTCTGGGGCAGGGGTTGGAAATTTGCATTTTACAACTCCAGTGCCTTCTGCATGTTAAAATTAGAGGAATACTTCTATAAGGGATCCAAAGTCTGCTGTCCAGAGGTAAATTTAATGTGAGAATAGGCAAATATCACAGACAGACATGGGGCAGCTCAGCATGAGAATCATATCCAGTTTTTACAGGTGGGGCAGATTTTTCAGACAGACATGGGGCAGCTCAGCATGAGAATCATATCCAGTTTTTACAGGTGGGGCAGATTTTTCCTGGCAGAGCTGACTTCTGATACCAAAGCTACATAGGCAGCCTGGGCAACGTAGTGAGATACCATCCCTACAAATTTAAAAAATTAATTGGCCATGATGCCATGTGCCTTTAATCCTAGCTACTCAGGATGCTGAAGTGGGAGGATCGCTTGAGCCCAGAAGGTTGAGGCTGCAGTGAACCGAGATTGTATCACTGCACTCCAGCCTGGGCATCAGAACGAGACCCCATCTCATTTAAAAAAAAAAAAAAAAAAAAAAAAAAAAAAAAGCTACATAGAGTGGAGGAACTATAGTCCTTAAGCCAGTGGCATTTTGCAGGTATGCAGCTGTCCCAGGTGTGTTCTCTGGTCTCATATGCCTTCTGGTCCTGCAGGTGCTAACATCTGGTGAGGACCAGAGCCTGCGTCTGGTTTCAAGGGTGACTCCCAATCCTGGAAAGTACAATCAAATTCTTCTTCTTTGGTCCTTAAAGGACCACATCCTTTAAGGATGACTTCAGTCTATTAATAGTTCCATTTGAGGTGACCACTTGGCTAAATAGGTGATTGGCTGCATGCTTGCCCCACGAGTGCAAGTGTCACCCACACCCATGCTACTCTTGAGGGCTGCTCCAGACAGTCCACCACTTTCAGAGTTCTGCTGCTTCCCGAAGTGCTGGAAGTCACATGTCACATTCTCCCAGGAACTGCTGCTGCCGTCCTCCCAGGCCTGTGGTAGCACCAGGGTGCCTGATTCTGCCAGGAGGGAGATTCCTCTTCTGGCAAACAATTCCATGCTCTGAAGCAGCCTTTACTTGACTTGGAATGGTGGCAGGGAATCATGGGGAGGGGAGGGAATATGTCACAGCTCTCTTACACTTACAAGTCCTCTTCCTTCAAAGAATCTGCTTGATCTCTTATCTTTTCTAATACAGCCTGGAGAAGGATGGCGACGGTGACTGAGGAGCCATTCTGGCTCCCTGTTGGTGGATCCTGCATGGATGTGTGTTGGACACCCCTTGTCCAGCACCTACGTCCTTCCAGACCACATTTTCCCTCCAGCCATTGGGTACAGCAAACTGGCTGCACACAGGCCAAGCCAGACAGCACTTCTTCTCACCTGCATGACTTTCAACCCTGGAATGCCACACGTGAGTGAGACCCTTGCAAGGAACTTCTCAGTCATTCTGGTGCGCGTGCAAACCTGGAAGTGTGTGGTAGTTAATACCTCAAGGAATAACGCTTGACCAGTGCAGATCAGAAGCCAGTGGATCAATTATCTTCTTTACCAACCTTGGGCAGACAATTCCGAGGGTGTATTCTCCATCGTGCCTGTGAGGATTGCCAGGCTAGTAGCAGCGAACTTGTGTGCCCATGGTGGCAACCAGGTGGATAATTCACCCTTGAATTGACCTTCCCTCTCTTTCCCTCTTCCCAGTCCCGACTCCTGTTTTTTGGGGATCATTTCCTAAAATATACTTTCTGTGTGAAATTCCTTGTCCCAGGCACTGCTTTCTTTGGGACCCAGTCTAAACATGTTCATTCGCTGTCTTTAGAATATGGGGATACTTGTCCTTTATCGCCCTTGCTTTGCGTAAAACTCTAGAGAAAAGAAGTCCCATCTAATATCCTTCTGCACATTGTTACTGGAAATGGAAAGCTGACATTCTGATTGCCACGCAGAACCCCACACTGCGTTCCTGTTGATGTGAGTTCGTGTTCTTGTTCTGGTTTTTGAAGGAGGGGAGGTAATGTGAAGTGGGCAGATAAACCTTGATTTAGATGTCGAAGAGGGTCTCTAAGAGCAGGAGGTAAACTGGAGTCTATAGTCTGAGATTACTTTGTATACACCAGTTATGATTCTTTGCTTAAAGCAAAGACTAGAGTAAGAGAAAAGAGAGCTATTGGAAGGAGTAGTAGATGCTGTGACATGCCTCCTGATTCCTCATCAGGAGGGAGGTATGCTCTCCAGCTGCCAGCATGCTGGCTGCAGGTACCTCTGAGCTGAGGCGTCCCCTGCAATTGTTCTTGGCTAAACATGGTCACCTGCCCAAGGTTACAGTCCCTTCTTGGTGGCTGCCTACATCCAATATCTGGGCATTTTGGAGGTGCAAAGCCTCTGTTACTTCAAGGCAGGACAATCTGAAGGGCCAGCCTAGCTCCAGCTCTCCAGGATCTGGCTGAGGCCTATGTGCAGTGCACAGTTTCATTTCAGGTCCTAGTCTCTGCTCAGTCCTGCTTCCCTCCCTCCCTCCCCCACAGGTGTTATTCCTGAAAGCGCTTTCCAGTAATCTTTCTGCACACAAATCTCCAGCTCCATCTGTTTCCTGGGGAACTTGACTACAACAGACTGATACTGGGGAGTTTGCAAAATCAAACTAAACATAGGCAGCAGGAAGGACACAAAGCAGGGGAGTCCCAGAGATCTCGGTGGTATAGAAACTTTTATACCTCTTAGGGTACCACCAGGGTGTCTCTGCTCAATGTTTAAATCCCTGGAAGGGAGCCTCTGATTGGCCTCGTTTGAGTTGGGAATCAGGGCCCTGTGATCAGAACTACCTGGGGTACTAATGAGTACTTCCTATGTACCAGAAAGCCACCAAATATCATTCTTCCTCCTCTGAGTTCAGAACCACCTGACAGACAGACAGAGGGGTCACTTGGGGCTAGGTCAGAAGATCAGCTTGATTCATAATGGATTGGTGGAAGTAACGTGGATATACAGCTTGCTAGTACTAAACTCCTGCATCAGACACATTCATTCTCCAGCCAGTCATGAGCAGAACTGGCCAGACACCTGTAGACTTTCTTACCAGGACAGGAGCTCAGCACATGGCATGGAGCACTCTTCCTGTGGGGAGTCAGATCCAAAAGAAAGAGACCAGATGGGGCTGATTCTGACATGCTCGGTCGCTTTTGTAAAACTCACCAGCCAGAGTGAGGAGGAATGAGGGGAGGAGGAGTGAAAGGCCAGGTGGTTACTCTGGCCAAAGTCTTTCCATGTGTGCACATGGAACCAGGGAAGTGGAAGTGTGGAACAGCTACTTTGCATATATTTACATGTATTAGCATATCTAGTTCTCACAATACCATGAAGTGTCACTGTCCCCATTTTATAGAAGAGGAAACTGAGGCCAAGGCCATCTTCCAAGGAAGTGCTGGCTTGGGATTTGAACCAAGGAACCAACTGTCCTCTGATCTGAAAGCCCATCCCATGTTCTTTTCAGTGCCATGTACCTGCTTCTTATTTGGAATGCGGGGGGAAGGGGAGGACTCCTGGCTGTCTCTCCAGCACTCACAGGGAGCACTTCTGGGTCCTGAAGCCACCAGCTCACCTTGGGCCTGGTTGCTTGAGTTACCCCATGTACCTGAGTCCACAAATGCTTCTATGGGAATGTGACAGATTTGAAGGGGCAGTCACTGGGCCCGCACTGGGAAGGCTGGGAATAGGCCTCCTTTCCTGTAGTGCTTAGCCTTGGTCTCCCCTGCAGGACCTATGCCTGCTTGCTAGACCAGGCTGTCTCACATTGCCAAAGAGGCTGCCACAGGGGCCTCACCTTGGCTCCCACCAGGATGTCCTGGGCCAGGGCAAGAGCAGCTGCTTTAGCTCAGCCTTTCAGGTCAGGTCTGCAGTAATCAGCTCCTTCCAACCAAGGGCGGGGCCCACTGGGGTCTCTATTAGCTTACGCATGCCTTTTAGGCTTAGTTCTCTCTGCGTATGAAGCCCTAAGACTCAGCCTGTCCCCAGCTGGCCAGTCTATTCTGTTGGACTCTTGACGTTTTCCCCAAACCTGGTTTTTCTCTTGGTTTCCCTACAAGCCTTTGTGTCATTTACCAAGTTGTTACATTTCTTGCTTTTCAGTCTCTGCAGATGTTCCAACCACTACACATCCCCCTTCTTCCCCTCCATACCCATCTACTTCTTCCTCTCACCCTGTATCCTTCTGTCTCTTCTTCTTCCTCTCTTCTTATTGCTCACCCCCCACCTTCCTCTCTGCTGTCCCCTCTGTTCCTCCCTAACCCTTCCCCTTGAACCCCAGGGAGATAGGCCTGTCTGCAAAGGAGAGATCTTTGTCACGTGATTATTAGATCCCAACGTGTTATCTAGTAGAAGGCAGCACAGTAGGAGTTTTCTTCAAGGGGCTGAGGGGGTTATAAAGGATTTCCGAATATCATAGAAAATCATCCGAGGATGCTGGGCTGAGGGCAGCTGCAACAGGGGTGTGAAGGTGGGTCACAGCTCCCCACCCCCTGGGAGAGGAAAGCTGACAAAAGGAGAGGAGAGGTTCCATACCTCATTTTATTCTCTTGGCAGTTTTGCCCAGAATTAGTCCTGTCTGTATTATTATCACTTGTAAGAGCATTTTTTCATGCCATTTAATCTATCAGCCTTTTATTAAAGCTTAGATAAAAGTGGGGGAAAAAAATCTCATCAACGTCAACCACCAGAAGGGAAATTTCAGGCTGAGATGACCAGATTTCTAAGTTTATTGAAAAATCTATAGATAACTGCATGGCTGCTCATGCTCTTTTATAAAACAAGTGCAGCCAGGCGAGCCATTTCATAACGTGGGAATTGTCGGCTGTGCGGTTAGTGGACAGAGGATGAGCTCATCTCGGGAAGACATAGGCTCTGGCGGAAATGAACACTGCGGCACGCTGCAGGCCAGCAGCACAGCGTCACCCTGCAGACTGAGCCTTGCAGCTTCTCGGGAGCTGTCCACGGCGCAGCCAGCCACCAAGGGACAGGGTGCCTCGGTCTTTAGTAGAAGACCCACACTTATGCCCTCCCATGCTAGCCACATGGGAGTAGTAGTGTGGAACAGCTACTTTGCATATATTTATATGTATTAGCATATCTAGTTCTCACAATACCATGAAGTACAGTATCACTGTCCCCATTTTATAGAAGAGGAAACTGAGGCCAAGGCCATCTTCCAAGGAAGTGCTGGCTTGGGATTTGAACCAAGGAACCAAGTGTCCTCTGATCTGAAAGCCCATCCCATGTTCTTTTCAGTGCCATGTACCTGCTTCTCATTTGGAATGCGGGGGAAGGGGAGGACTCCTGGCTGTCTCTCCAGTGCTCACAGGGAGCACTTCTGGGTGGTAGAACAGTAGAACCCACACTTACCCCTCACATGTTAGCCACACTCTGGAGCCCACATTTGGAGTAGTGACAGGCTTTCAAAGGTATTTAATCTTGCCACAATCCTGAGACAGGTATTAATACTCCTCTTTTCCAAATGAAGAAATTGACCACCACTGGAGGGAAGGAACTTGGGTAAATCCACAGAGTGAAGTGGCGGTGCTGGGGTGATTACCCAGGGTTTCCAGTTCTGGTCCTATGGTCCTTTTGCTCCATCGGGCTGTTGCATCACCAGAATCAGTTTAGAGGGGGAGATGGAGAAGCCACCCTTTGGCCTTCGGGACAAGTGTGTGAGAATTGGTGAGTGGGTGGGGATAGGGGAGTCAGGTTTGGGCAGTAGAACGTCAAGTAATATATACTCTAAATAGGTTTATTTCCTGACTCCCCCCCTTGTCTGTGTGACCTTGTATAAGTCACTTAACTTCTCTGTGCCTCTATACAATGAGGAATGATAATATCTACCTCATGGGTTTGTGGTAAAGTTTAAAAGAGATAATGGATCAAGCATTTAATATAGTATAGTAATAAATGGTATAGAGTTTAGCCCACTTGTGAAATCAAAAGAAATTTGTAAAAGTGCCTCAACAAAATATCTGTCCTGTAGAGGTGAACAAGTATTTTCAGTCCCTTTCTGACCTCTTTCCTGTGGCTACCAGTCCTTACAGGCACCTGGGGCACCTGCTTTCCCTGCTGTGGACTAGGATGCCTGTAGGTACCAGGTTAGAGGAGCTGCTTCTTGGAATTGCCCTGTGGCTGTACAGTGTGCCATCTGCGGCCTTGCCATTGACTCACAGATAACCTTGAGCTGACCTCAGTCTTACCTGGCTGGGCCTCTGTTTCCTTAGTTATAAAGGGGTAAGAACAGAGCTACGTTTGTGGAATTGTAGTTTGTGAACTTCTACATCAGAATCAACTCCATTGTTGATTCTTGAAAATGTCGATTCATGGGCCTGGCCCCAAGTTGTCTCAATCACAATCTTTAATAGCGCTGTAGAATCTATGTTTGTAGAAAGCCCTCTCCCCTTGCCCCATGCTCTATCCTAACTCTCAGAGATTCTGATATAATTGTCCATTAATGCATGATGAAAGTAAATAATAAATTAATAAATTAAAAATTGATTTACTTTACAACTTTGGTTGTTTTTAAGATTTTCCGGTTTGGTTTTGTTTTTAGCAGTTTTACAACATGTGCCTAAATGTGGTTTTCTTTGAACTCCTCTGGGGTTCATAACACTTCTAGAATCTGATTATCTTTTGTCAGTGTTGGAAAATTCTCAGTCATCATCTCTGTAAAAATTGTTTCTGACCCATTTGTTGTTTTCCTCTCCAGGACTCCAATTACATGTATGTTGGACCTGTAGCCATGTCCCATTATGTCCCATACAACTTGTGCTACCACCTGTATTTTTCATTCATTTTGTGCTCTCATTCTTTCAGTGTGGATATTCTCTATTGACCTGTCTCTGAATTCACTAATCTTTTCATCAGCTGCACCTAGTTTGCTATTAATCCCATCTATTCTGTTCTTAGTTTTAATTATAATTTTCAGTTCTCAAATTTTCATTTGATTTTTAAAAATTGATTTTAATTCTTTGCTAAAATTAATTTTCTTGGACATATTAATCAGTTATTTTGAAAGTCTTTGAGCGTTCATTTCAACATCAGTCTGCTTAGAT